CCTGACGGCGCCGGACGCTTTTACAAAATGATCTTGGCTTCAAGGTCGACCCAGCCTTAAGTGGGTACCAACTAAAGTCCTTGAAGGAATGCCGACATGATGACCACACACAGGGTCTGTAAAATGTAAGTCTAGCCCTGTATGCCCCAAACGCCTGGTGTAGAAAAAGGCCCTTTACTTGCTTACTGACTGCGTCAGGGTAGGTAGGTATCTTTGAAGTATAGACAATAAAGGATAGAAGTAGTGAGCTGATGACACGCGTGACCAGGGTGGCCAACGGGATCGGTGATCCACGGGCTGACCCCCAGCCCTGAGATGTAGCCCATGCTGGTCTGCATCCAATTTCCATGGCACCATTAACTGTCTGATTGTATGTCTGTCTCTCCTTTCCCCTGTGTGTTAAGCGTCAACCAGATCCCCTTGCAACTCCTCGCAGCGCCATTAACCTAAGACCGTAAAGGTCTGTTGGTGCTTCCGCACTGTTGACTTGCTCCCAATGGGCCTTCACAACCTCTAGCTTGTCATACATTAAACCACCTAGTGGCGTCGAACCGGCCAGTCTATCTGCCTGCTCCTTTTCCAACACACCGACATCCTGGAGAAAACATCCAATGGACGCTAACTAAATGGGAACACTGAATCGATTCTTGCAACACAGCAGGGAGCATGCCCGTCTCTATCTTTCTGAACCTGCTCTGTGAGTCAGTTACAGTTACGACACCTCATTCTCAAGCTTTCTAGCGGAAGCAAGCAGTGACTGCCTCCAGTTCCATTCTCAAACAAGACGTTGTGATATCATATCCCAGGTTTTTTGCACTAGACGACGTCAATTGAACCCCTACACTCTTTGTGTGCCTCTCAACACAGATGCGTCTGATTAGATAATCACATCACCTTGGCGGGAATTGTCAGGAATCATTTGTTGAACTTTTTGATTCTGCAACATCAGCTTGCTAGTCCCTGTACTTACCCCTTACAGTGATCATAACACTATACACGTCTGATTCTTGTTGGGACACTTTGAACAGCTCCTCTCCTCGCCCAAATTTATCAAGCCTACACACATGTACAATTGTGTCCTTCAGCTTGCGCCATCAAAGACCTCCGTCTTTTCTGTCTGTGACCCTTAGCTCTACCCAGGGTCTCACGCAGGAGGTGTTTCTTGTCTGCAGCTACTCTGAGATATGTTTTTGCCTGCAGTGTGAGCCTATCTGCAATAGTAGACTATACAAGCATATATCGAATACATACAACCGGGGCATCTTTTGTACATCCTAGAGTTACCCGCATGGCTCCATTCTGAATGCGTTCAAGTTTCATCAGCTGACTCTTTGATATTGTAAGCATGCCAAGTCCATAATCTATCACTGACAAGATCACATGCTAAAACATTGTGAACAGCATTCTTTGTTCTATGTCTATTACTGCTATAATCTTGAGAGCATTGAGTTCTTCTGGCATTTCACTGCAGCTACCTCGACATAATCCCTGAATCCCTAAAAAACAGGCTTTTTTTTCAAAATTGATACCCAGGTACCTCAGATTGCTTTTCTTTTTATGTTTCTGTCATTATTGTCAGGCTTGGAACATTAGCTCTTACAATTCTATTGTCCAGAGAGCAACATAAAACAGACGCCTTTTCTGAGTTGATGACAGCACCCATCACTGCACACCAGTCAGTAACTTTGTCTACAGTGGCCTGTAGCTCTTTTGCTGTCTGTTTACTATCGCTCCCCTGCCCATATGCGAGAACATCATCGGCAAATGGCAGTGTCTCTCCAACACATGATGCTTCAAGTTCTGCCACCTGTTTACACATTGAAGATCTCTGGAGAAATTGCAGAACCCTGGCGTAGTAGTCCCGGGGTGATTTCATGTGGTTCTTCAGTCCATGTACCCAGGCGAAGGGCAACATTGCGTGAATGCAGGACATCTTCTATCCAGTTAACAAGCCAGTAACAAACCCCCTTCTCATGAGAGCAGATATCAAAGTTTTGTATCTGACTCTATTATAGGCATCCTCAAGATCTGTCAATTTTCGAAGCCCCAAAAAACATCAAAAGCAAAAGTAGCAGCCAAGTGTCTTTCCATGGCCGGTAACAACGGAAACCCGCTGCAGTAGCTCTTCACTTATCTAAAACATGTGTTGTTTACCAGCAATAATCTTCTCCAGCACCTTGCCAAAAGCATTTTGCTCCTGACATGAAAGAAAAATATCCAAACTTACCCAGGTTTCTTTAATTCAGACACAAAGGGTTAATGTATGACAGGCGACTGCTAGAGTATTATGTGAGTAGTCTGACACTAAAGGAGTTCAAACAGATCAATCTCTGCAAAATTTAATCCTTAAAGGTCAGCAACTGCCCAAAAACGTCAGTTACTGCCAATAATTACCATTTTTGCAGTGTGCGCGGGGTAGAGGAGGGGGGGGGGGGATTTAACCTAGTGCTGTCGCCACGGACTGTGCAGCTACGGATTTCATTTTCTGCATCCGACAAAAAAAAAAAGACATTATTGAGGATACAAACTTTGGACTCCCGCGTCAGAGACTAGCATTCTTAGCCATTCAGGCAGCCTATCCTCGTAACCTCTAGTAACTTTTGAGAACACCATTAGATGGAACCTATACACAACACTAAATGTAGGCGTCACTTGGCAGAAAAAGCAGTATTTGTGGTGTTTTTATTTCTCGAATTCAGTGACGCTAACTTCAGCTGTTGATCTCAGAATTCAAGCCATCAGTCACACTTGTGTGGGCAGCTTCCTCTGCCTGATTTTATTTTCGTTTTTTCCCTTTTCACAAAGAGAAACACAGAACGGCTTCTATCACGCATGCCAGATTGGATAACCTAGGGCGAGTAGACTCAATTTCTAAGCTCTCGTTGTAATGAGTTGGTGGGTGTAGATGAGCGGGATGAGGAGTAAAATCAAAGAGAGACTAGCAGGTGAAGTAGGAAAGGGGAGAAACAGTAGGAGGCATGTGGGAAGAGAAAAAGAAGAAGAAGAAGAAGAAGAAGAAGAAGAAGAAGAAGAAGAAGAAGAAGAAGAAGAAGAAGAAGAAGAAGAAGAAGAAGAAGAAGAAGAAGAAGAAGAAGAAGAAGAAGAAGAAGAAGAAGAAGAAGAAGAAGAAGAAGAAGAAGAAGAAGAAGAAGAAAAAGAAGAAGAAGAAAAAGAAGAAGAAGAAAAAGAAGAAGAAGAAGAAGAAATGAATGAATGAATGATGCAATAAATGACTAGTAGCAGTAGTAACAGTGGTAATGATGATGATGGTAGTTCTATCCGTTATGTTACCTGAGAATAATTCTCTGCTTGATAGCTTAGCTAGATGGGCAGTTATTCCGGGGAGGGGTTGGTGGGTGGTTAGAGTGCTGTCGATGATATGTTGGTTGGTTGACTAGTTAGTTGGCTGGTTGACTAGTTAGTTGGTTGCTTGACTAGTTAGTTGGTTGGTTGACTAGTTAGTTGGTAGGTTGACAACTTAGTTGGTTGGTTGACTAGTTAGTTGGTTGGTTGACTAGTTAGTTGGTTAATTGACTAGTTAGTTGGTTTGTTGACTTGTTTGTTGGTTGGTTGACTAGTTAGTTGCTTGGTGGACTAACTGGTCTGTTTACTAGCTAGTTGATTTTTGACAAGTTAGTTGGTTTGTTGACTAGTTAGTTGGTTTGTTAACTAGTTGGCTGGCTTAGTAATTATTCCGTCTGTTGACTAGTTAGTCGGTTTGTTGACTAGTTAGTTTGTTTGGTTGAGTAGTTAGTTGATTTGTTGACTAGTTAGTTGTTTGTAATTGTTTTGGTTAGCTGGATGGTTGGTTGGTCGAAAAGTTGATATATTGGTTCGCGGTATCTCTCTATTGAATTATGTGGGAAAAGTCTTTGCTCGTGTTATCCTAAAAAGGTTGCAAATTCTAGCGGACAGAGTATACCCGGAATCACAGTGTGGGTTTAGGGCCCAGAGATCAACAGTTGATATGATCTTCTCCATCAGGCAGCTACAAGAGAAGTGCAGAGAGCAACAGAGGCCACTGCTCATTGCTTTCATAGATCTCACTAAGGCCTTTGACTATGTCAGCAGAGATGGTCTATTCGGGATCCTTGAAAAATATGGATGCCCACCTATACTACTGAGCCTAATCAAATCATTTCATGAGAATGTGAGGGGGACCATAATATATGAGGATTCATCATCTCGACCCTTCCAGATTCGAAATGGAGTAAAGCAAGGATGTGGTTGGGTGGGAGGTTTGGGAAATAGAGAGAGTGTGTAATAATTGGCCTATGGTTCCTAAGTCGACCCAGGCTAGAGCGGTCACAAGAAAATACATATATCGAAGTAAAGACACCCGGCGCGATGCTGACCAGTGAATGTCGACTAGGTGATAAAAATGATGAAAATATTGTGTGCCTTATGCAAGTCAACACGGTGAAAAGGGTCCTTTCTTTTACTTTCTGAAATCTGCAGCATTGTGATGTCATTTAATGGTTTGCCTCATTCATTTATCAAAGTTGGTTGTGTATCCTTTACAGGACGTTGCAGAACCAACCCCAACAGCCCCTGGCTGTTGTGTGGTTTTTCTAGGAAATTTACGTCCAGTAGTTTGCCATTTATTTCTGGACGGTCGGCTTTCTTGATACCTCTGTCGAAACCAACGCAAGGCGCATGGCCCGCAGATTGGATCGAACCCGGCATCCCAGCATTACGAAGCGTTCGCATCGACTTAGCCACAGAGCCAACTCACTCATTTATACATGCATTTATTCACTCATAATTTGTTGCCTTGACCTAATTTTAACATTTTGCTTTATTTTTCAGGGAGCTTGAAAGGCTAAACTCTCGAACAGATTATTTCCTTGACCTTGTGTGGGGGTACAACAAACACCACCACTAACAAGATGTAATGTTAAAGCTTCAAGATTTCAAACATCTTGTGAAATGTTCTATATTCAATGAGTTAATCCTTTCTTATGGTTATGTAGTTCACCTTTGTAGTAGTAAATTCAGCAATGAACTACAACATTATACATGTATTTAGAAACGCAACAGTTGTCAACTCAGCCCCTGTTGACATACGCCAGTTGGCTGATTTTGCGTCACCTTACTCACCTGCACAGACTGCCGTCAACACAACATCTCAGCTGTCTCACACTGACAGATCATGTGCAGCCACAGTTTTCCTTGCCATGGTCCTGGCTATTATTGTGGTTCTTACAATTATTGGAAACGCCCTCGTCATTGTCTCGATAGTTGTCAGTACCAATTTGAGAACTACCACGTACTATTTCATCGCCAACTTGGCTCTGGCAGATTTGCTGTTGGGCACGACTGTCCTGCCATTCTCTGCCACCCTTGAGGTGCTTCAGTACTGGGTCTTCGGGCAGGTGTTCTGCGATATGTGGGCCGCTATCGATGTACTTTGCTGCACTGCATCTATCCTTAGTCTTTGTGTCATCAGCATTGACAGGTAAGAAAGGTTAATAGCCACATGCCCTTATGGGTTTCATGACCCATGCTGGGGAAAAGGGAGGGGGGGAGGGTTACTCACGGGACAGTAACAAGCATATTGTAAAAATATAAAGTGTTTGTTTGATGTTGGATGTAAAGTACCGAAATAAGCAGATTTCACAGCCCAGCTGTAAATCACACACAACACATAGTACCAGGGATCACCCATTTAAGTGATAACACCGTTTTCTGTCACTAAATTAAATACCACATCTGCAAACACATTGTTCACAAAGTTGGACACTGTGAATCTATGGTAGTCCCTGTGAGTATACTACTAGATGTTGTCCACAAACTTATATCCAACCTCAGTTTACCTAGAGGCGACGAGAAAGATTTCATTGCATCGGTTTGTATCCTCTATGCCTTTTTCTCTTTCCGATGGCAGCCCACGAAAAGCGTTAAAAAAACAAGAGCCTTTAGCTCCAGCTACAAGCCTCGAGGATCTGTATAACTCTCACACTCACCAACCGACACACACACAATTGTGTGGGCATCCAGTAGTTGCAAGAAGTATAAGACAGAGAAGATAGCGCTTTATCGATCACCTTCTCAGAAAATGCGAACAAAACAAACAAAATCACCAGACAGGCACTAAAATGGGAAACAAAGTATATAAGCAAATGAGGACATCCAAGAAAACACTAAGATGAGCGTACATGAGGCAAGTCAGAGATGCTGGACTGTGTTCATTCTGTGATATCGAAATAACTGCACATGCTAGAAGGGTAAGGGTGAATAGACTGACAGCTCTGCGTGATATGTAATGGCACAAAAGGACACTGAATGGAAAGAAGGGGGGGAAAATGGGAGTGGGGTGGTAAAAGGGGGTAGCTTTCAAAAAGATCCGCAAAGAACTAGTCCGACAACAAGCCTATAATATTAGTGTAACTGCTTCATAACAACAACCACACAAGCAGCTGGTCGTGTTAGCATGTCTGTAGTATTAGTGTACGGTTAATTTTACGATGGTCTCCCCATTTGCACACCACCAGTTGTAGGTCAACTCCATTGATAAGTTGGTTGGACTAGTCTACCGTTGCCGAGGTTAGGGGTGTCGCAGTCTGTTTTTGTCTGGTATTAACGTTTTTATTTCCGAGAAAGGGACGACCTGTGACATTGGTTTTGTGACTCTTTAGAGGTTGTGTGTTAGACTCAGTAACTAAATGTTTTATAAGTAAAAGCTCTGGTGTGGTGAAATATACAACTCGCTGTATGAGCGCGAGTGCACAATATCCCCGTGACCTTTTGTGAACGTCGGATCGCTCGAGGCCAACCTATCAGAAGAGAGGTGGTCAGTAGGTCGTCCAATCAGAAGCGAGCTAGTTTGTAGCGGTGTGCAAATGGGGAGAGCAGAGTAGAATTTACCAGTGTAATTTCTTTAACGACTACCACACAAACAACTGGTCACGTTATTAGCATGTCTGTAGTATTAATGTAACTTCTTCATAACGATAATCATACAAGAAACTGATCATGTCAGCATGTTTGTAGTATTAGTGTAACTTCTTCATAACGATAATCATACAAGAAACTGATCACGGCAGCATGTTTGTAGTATTAGTGTAACTTCTTCATAACGATAATCATACAAGAAACTGATCATGTCAGTATGTTTGTAGTATTAGTGTAACTTCTTCATAACGATAATCATACAGGAAACTAGTCACGTCAGTATGTTTGTAGTATTAGTGTAATTTCTTCATAACAATAATCATACAAGAAACTGGTCACGTCAGTATGTTTGTAGTATTAGTGCTACTAGTTCATAACGTTGACCGCACACATACCATAGATATCGCTGGTCTAGAAGAATCGATCTCCATATCGTTTATGTCAGACCCACTTATCTCGGGATTAAAAAAGATCGATGGCAATTCTCGATATGAGGAGATCAGAGCGATTACGTGGGAGCAAATCTAAGGCAAACGTAATGACACAAAACATGCAAGTCCCGTTTATATAGACAAACTTCACGGTTGTCATACATATGATGCATGATCAATGAGAAAACATATCAGAACAAAATATATACTTTATTTTTTTAAATATAATGCATACAAGAGTTTAGCAAACCATCTTTACAAATAGTAATCTACAATGTTATACTACGACTAATAGGAGCATAGGGCGCGCCTTCGTGTGTTCATACATGTCAAATAAGTCATATTATAGAGATGATGACCTGTGACACTTATTGCTGTAGCTCATATAATGCTTTTGTACAACTGTGTGTCAGTGTGTATGTATGTGAGTCGAGGAATATAAATTATTTAGGCGACCCTCGCTTTTATTAGTCCTGGTACAAAATTGTAGATACTACAGTTTTCAGGTTAGATCCTATTCTATAGGAAACTTCTAGAGCTGCCGCCATATGCCCCGTAAACATCACGACGTAGTAAGGGGTCATTCACTTTTGTGAGTCGTAAATACGAGAGAGAATCGTGCGTGCCTTCTCAGACCACTCGCCACATTAGGGTGTGTGTAGTAACGTGGAGACTGGGGGATTAGCTGATGCCGCCCCTCTTGATGGTCAGCTGCTTCAAGGTAATGCGGACGTCGTGAGAGCTCTCTGGGACCGAGTAAACAGAGTAACAGAACGTTTTCTGTCAGAGGCCCAAAAAAAATCCCAAACTCCACAGTGCGTGGCAACAACACTAGCCTTCTGAGGCTCAAAGACACCCTCCCACTCCCACCCCCTACCCCCCCCCCCCCCCCACACACACACACACCCTTTTAACACATTATATTTTGGAAAAGTGGTAAAAATAGGCAATAACAGTGGGGGGTTTTTTTTCTTCAAAATAAAAGGGATGATGATGATGATCATCATGATGATGATAATTGTGATGATGATGATGGAGATGCTGGCGACTGCACACCTCTTGAAATAAAAAAAAAAAAAATCTTTGTCCGTGTTTCTTTTCGTAGATACATCGGCGTGACCAGACCCCTTCAACATGGGCGTATCATGTGCCAAGCTAGAACAACATACGTCATTATCTTCATCTGGCTTTTGTCCATGGCCATCTCCGTTGCACCTCTAGTCGGTTGGAAAGAAGAGCCTGACTCCAACCCTCTAGTCTGTACAGTAACCACGCAACCAGGCTACGTTCTCTTCTCCGTGGCAGGTTCCTTCTACATCCCTTGTTTGATCATCCTGGTCGTGTACTTTCGCATCTACAGAGAGACTGTGAAGTATACCAGATGCTTGTCTTCGGGAGCCAAGTTGTCCAGGGTAGCCGAGGACACAGTCGTGTCACTGAGGATCCACCTGGGAAAGAAGGCCATGTCGGAATCCAGCGATGAACGATACCAAGTCATCAACAAAATCGGTCTAATGGCTGACTACACTAGCGGAAATGCTCAGTGCAGTCCCAAGAAGAGTAAACACAGCGGCAGAACAGCTTTCCTCAACAAGGTTGCGAAGTTTAACCGAGAGAAGAAAGCAGCCAAGACACTTGGTGTTGTTGTTGGAGTCTTCATAATCTGCTGGCTTCCGTTTTTCATTGTTCTTCCCTTAGGTTTGTATACGTAATGTTCCATGTTGTACTGATTGTCTTTTTGATCATCTATCTTCCTGTCGTTATGTCTGTCTGCCTCTCTAACTAGATCTAACTATTAGTCAGATTATCTATTTAGATTTCAGTCTGTCCAACCAATGGACAATCTATCTGTCAGTCTAAATCTTTAAACACCTCAAGATATAATGTCAGAAATACTGACGAGCACATGTAAAACAGATAAAGGATATACATTTTGGAGCGTAAACCAGACAACATGACCAGCGAAAGGCACAGTTCAGCGTCCAGACTTGAAGTGCCCTCGAGATACACGATTCTTCTGGTTTTAGTCCATGCCGGGTCCGTTTGCTCTTCTTGTATCTTAGGCTATGTTGTGTCTTGTACTGTATGCATGTTTTATGATATTTGTTATGATGCCAAGCAGCCGAATTATATAACTTTTGCACTCCCGTTATACGAGGACATAATAGTGCATTGGTCTTTACAGCTCGCTCTCCAGGCAGAAACCTCTAAGAAGCCAGGGATGCCTTCTCATGTCTACCAGGAATATGACGACGGAGATGATGGCTGTGCTCCAAGCTTCCATATGGCTAGAATTATAGGGCCAATTACTGAGATGTTCTATGGGCATAAACCGGCAGGTCGAGCAGGTTCCGTACACAGATAATGGAATCAGTCATTGCAAAACTCTCCTCTGTGTGTGTGTGTGTGCGCGCGCGTGCATGCGTGCTTGCGTGCGTGCGTGTGTTTGTGTCCGTGCGTGTGCGCGTGCGTGTGTGTGTGTGTGCGTGCGTGCGTGTGTGTGTGTATGTTTGTGTGTGTGTGTGTGTGTTGTAGTTTCTTTCATATTTGTACGAGCGTATGCAGGTGTTGTTGGCAAAAAAAGAGTTAATATAAAAGATTGTTAGATTAGTTGCAGATACCGGCCTATGTATCACGCCGACATTGTCACTGCCATTAGAGAAAAAGCAAGTTAAGAGGTGTTTTAGAAGCAAAGTATTCACACCACTGCTAGGAATACGAGAATTGGGAGTTATGATCGGCACTGCCAAGCATTAGAAGCATCTGGACGCACTACACAGCTTTCAACCAGTATTGGACGGGCACTATTAACCGGGCGACGCTTATGAATATGTTGAAGAGGGAATCTGAGCACCTATGGATGTGTACGGAGGGCTATGAGAAAAATCCAACTTGTAACTAATTTACACTCTCATCTCCCTTTGTCAGCATAATATCTCGTGCTTATTTCTAGAATTGTTTGAACAAGATAACGACGGAGCGGTCAGGGGCTCACCTGTAAAACCGGACTGTCCTAATAAACACAATGACAAATGGGCATCCCATTCATGCAACCCTTCTCGGGCATCACTAGCAAGAAATACAAACAGTTCCACGACACGTTGATATACTGTCTCATAGCTGCATGTAAACTGGTAGATATAATTTGATTTGGCGTACGTCGACACTGGTTGTTTTACCGGGGCGTAGGAATTACAGTAGTTTTAAATCAGATAACAACACGGCTGCACAAAAAGTCTGACTGGACGCAGTTTTGAGACGATCATATAGTTGCATCTATCAATTTAAATGCAGTTGTGAACCTGCATATGTGATTAACGCCCTAAGAAGCGAGTCGCTAAGTACATTCTAGTTTGGGTAGAAAAAGCCATGCAAAATAATGTTCAAATTGATAATATCTGCCGTAAAGATCATAGTTTCTCAATAGCATGCCATCTTTTAAAATCTGGACACACCGTATCAAAGAACTGCATTTCAAATCCTGCGCGCATCAGCCAATGGCATTACGCTCCGATGTTTTGGAGCTGCCGCGATTCGTCACCTGCGCCCTGAACTTTGCATACAGAAAGATATGGTTCTGACACTGAGGCTGCCCTGGTAAAACAGGCAGTTATGTTTGATAGTTGTTGAATTGATACTTCATATACAAAGGATTCACTTATCTGCTTCATTTATGTCATTGTTACTGTAGTATGCACCTGACGAGATGCAGCGAAATTTGCCACGCAATATATTGTACAGTCTATTGTTTGTGTTTTCTTTGTCCAAATTCACAATAAGGAATATTGCTTTCATGTTCTGACACACACACACACACACACACACACACACACACACACACACACACATATATATATATATATATATATATATATATATATATATACACACACACACATATATATATATATATATATATATATATATATATATATATATATATATATATATATATATATATATATATATATATATGAACCTCGATAAATAAAAACGTAAAACATGTGTGGATCGAAACTGGTATTAACTGGAAGCAAGGAGATTCGTAAACGTCGCAAACGTGACGGAATTATAGCTGGCTGGCTGAAAAACTATGCTGGTGTCAACAAAATCCAGACATTCGTAAATCAAAACAGCTGCAGATTCAGTGAACAGGTATCGTTGTTAAAGTGAATGTCGAGTACAGTAGTTTTTTTGTATGATTGTTTATTGGTGATCTTTTTGGGGGACTGGGGAGTCGAATATGCGGGTTAAAGGGTATATGTTTCTAGAGATAAGTTACAGCACTGTGTATCATGATTTGGAATCATAAATGTCAAAAGGGATATTGCTCTACTGCGATTTTGTTTTCTTCTTTTCTCTATTCCTGGAATGCCTCACAGCGTCAGGACGGGAAGAGACCTCTGGAACGGGCCCTTCTCTTCCGCTGTTTATAATACTTTTCAGTGCCTCCGAGATTTCTGCTATAAATCGTCTGCGTGGTTGGCCGATGGATATATTACCGCCGTTTGTGTGTGATATTGCTTTCTGTGGTGGCCTGTCTGTTGCCAGTCTTTTTGCGTTGTCAAAACATTTAATCTTTTGACAACCTGTAAATTTCAGTATTGGTTCAGTGCCGACTCTCCTCCTGATTTCATCGATTATTAAGTCGATCTTTCCTTTCTTGATTTTAAATGGAATATTGTTCATCTGCGAGTTAGCGAAAATGAATAGCTGAAGAAGTCAGGTGACGATCTTTCTCCTTACAAGATTAGGTAGTTAGCATTTGAAGCCAGCCCATTCTATTATAGACCCATCGCGCACACTGATTCCAGAATATTCACAACATATATGCATAAATATATTAGGGCTGTACCGATTAGTGATTTTCATTATTTGGCCGAATACGAATACGAATAGTGTATCATCATCATTAGGTGCCATGCCGACTGGCGTAGCCGATCATGCCTCTCCACAATCTGCTATTTCCTGCAGCCCGTATCAGTTCGTGTGCCGACATACCTCCATGCCATGCAACAAGACTGTCAAGAATCTGCTATCGTTGTCTTCCTCCATCCCTCCTTTCACAGATCTTTCCAGTGGTCACCAAATGTTCCATTTTCCCTCTTCTCATAACATGGCTGAAAAATGACGACTGTTTCCTTCTGATGTCTGTGATTAGTTGTCTTCGGGCTCCCGCCTCTTTCAAAACCATCGTTCGCTCGGCCGTTCGTTTGATGTAATTTAAACACACCTTCATATTATCATTAACAATATCTTCAAATTTGATTTAGGCGAAGACACCCTGAAAAAACGAAAATGCATGATCTCACTATCTCTCTCTCTCTCTCTCTCTCTCTCTCTCTCTCTCTCTCTCTCTCTCTCTCTCTCTCACACATGCTTACACACACACACTGCGGTTGGCATTTTAGTCAGTTTGTACCACGCAGTTATCCCCGCTACGACAGACTTAGGCAACAGCAACTATTGTGTTAATGAGACAGTTATTTCAGAATACCGAATAGTTATTAGGTCCACTATTCGGCCCCGAAGCGAATACGAAGCTAATATTCGGTGCAGCCCTAATATATATATATATATATATATATATATATATATATATATAGAGAGAGAGAGAGAGAGAGAGAGAGAGAGAGAGAGAGAGTCGAGGCTTCAACTTCACAGCACATCCAGCAGCGTTACAATGGAGACCACTGGTTGTAACAAGGGAATTTACATGGCTGGGTACTCATGAAACAAACAGTGAATATGCTTAAAAAGATTCAGGCAGGCTTCGTCAGACACAAATAAATGCTCTCTTTACATGGAAAAGGAATAACTCGCATAACCTTTATCTTTACCAGGCTATGCCGGTGTTCACGAATGTAAGTGTGCATATTATTTGACAGTGACGGACAAGTGGTTACCTCGACTGGTACGCCACTGTATACGAATGATGTCATTAACGTCATGCGAGCTGCCTATCGCAAAGAAGATCTTGTCAAGAAACAAGACTCCGTATGCTTGTCTAGGCTGATGGACAGGGGCGTGTAGTATGGAGTAGCCAGACATGATCATTCAACCAACGGCACAAAACGTCTGTTTAATCAATACAGAACGGGCCTGATTAGTCGTTTTACTCTTGTGAAAGAGATCAGAGCACCCGGTGATCTGTCCGGAGTGCTGTGATGATAGCCCTCTCTGATCTCTAGTAACAGCAACATTGGCCATGATAGCGTTGGCGTGGACGCTCGACTGCTGGCCTCGAAGTCTTGGGTTCTATCTACATCGAGACGCCATTTTTCCAATACTGTCCTTTACTGCCATGTCGACCCAGCTTAAAATGTGTACAAGGCAGAATTCTCAAACATTTAGACTTGATCCAAGACCAGGAGAGAGGTCTTGTTGTCGTTGTTGTTGTTGTTGTTGGGATGGTAACAACAATCCTGAAATCTCATACTCTAATTGTGGAGGACTTTTCTTAATGCCGACAGGTTTGCTAGTTCACACTCATCATCGCCATGGGTTGTAAATTCCATGCCTTCCCATAACACACTATTACAATATCGTTAGAAAATACGGAAAGGTACCAACAAACAATGTGGGAGTCAACGTTTAGTAGAACTGTATTTAACCTGTGCATAAATAGTCTCTGTGAATTGGGGTTTGAACAGAGATTCATAATTCCGAAATATCGGATCCCATTCACATGTAGGCGA